TTTTCAATAAGAATTAAAGAAATTAATAAAATAATCAATTTCTAAACGAATCTTAAGCCCATCTATATATATATACGTACGATTAAAAAAATAAAAAATAATATAAGTGGACAACATTACATACATACGAACGTATGAACACACACTTTAATCTTCTCTAATAATGACAGGTAAACGAAATTCATTATAATCTCTCTTTCTTTAGAAATATAAATTCTAACCCACATCTATTTCTATGTTCAAATTCATCACAAAACTCTCATTGCTCTTTCAGTCTCCTCTTTACCTCAACTTCCACCACATTTCTATCTCCATTGCCCCATTTTGTCACCTTCCTTGATTGTCCCCATTCTATATCACAACCATCATTTGCAGGGGCAGAGGGAGGGGGTCGGGAGTCCCGATCCTAGTCCCTGCTCATTTCTACCAAAATTTAAACTTTTCCGTATGAATATATGTATAAAATAGATAAAGTTGATATTGTTTGATTGCACTTCCCCCCCTCCAATTTTTTTTTATATTTTTATTTATATATTATATTTAAATACACATAACACTTTTTATTTTATTTTTTTATAAAAATAATTAATTTTTTCCGCTTTTGCCCCTCGAGCTGATAAACTATTGTGATTATATTATGAAAGATGCACCATAAAAAAAAGATTTAATTATGAATCATCGTGATTATATTATAAATATTAAAATGTATGAATTATTCTAGTAAAAAAAGTTACAAACCATTATGGTTTTATTACGAATCATTATGTAGTTACAAAATGACATACAATATACACCTTTCAAGATGAATAATGTTTGAGGGCCCGAAATTAGGGGCTCGAATTTGGCTCGAAACCCAAAACGACGTCGTTTTGGGTTTCAATTTTTTTTTTCTTCATTTTCTTTCTTTTCCTTTTCTTTCTTTCTTTTCTTCTTCTTCGTTGAACACAGGAGAAGAGCAGAGACGAGAGAGAGAAACGGAGTCGTCGTCGTCACAGCAGCTCGTCGGCGTCGCAACTCGTCGGCTGATCGTCGCAGCTCGTCACTCGTCACTCGTCTGCATCACAACCCCGCCTCCGCCCTATTTTGTTGGCCCCTCCAGTCCAGTTCTTCTTCTCCTCTTCCTTCTTCTTCTTCTTCCCTCTAATTTCGAGCCAAATTCAAGCCCCTATATTCGAGCTCTGTACCGGGGTTGCTTTCAAGATATGTATTATAATTTTCACTCCCCTTAATTATTTTTCTCATTAGTATGAGACAAATTAGATACACAATATAATATACATTTATGTATTTAATGAATTATTTGATATTATTTATAATTTGCATTATTTTAACGCTGAATCATTAAAGTTCAAGTTCTTATAACATATTTAAAATATTCTCATTATTTATTAGTTTATTTTTTGATACCGATGGGCACCCAAAAGGGCCTAGCCCACGACTCACAACCCAAGTAAACTTAACCCACCCTTGTCTTAAGCCTTCAAGCAATCGCGGTTAAAGCCCATCAACTTTAAGAGGCCAATGCTGGCCCAGAACCAATGACATGCAAACACTTGTAAAGTAGGGACGTAGCCACATAAATAGGTAAAGATACTACAAAGTCATTGCACCCATACATCAGTCATTTAATGAGGCCACTGTAGCATTAAATGCAACAAGACCCCTCACGCCGGTGTATGCAGAATTATCATGAACGATGTTAACTAAGCCATAGACTTTCGGACAACAAGACAGCTTGTAATGGACAAGGAAATGATGAGTAAAGGATATAAGGAAGCCCTTGAGATGTGTTAAAGGTTTTCATTCCCTTTGTCTCTCTCTCTCAAATTAATATACCCCCACCTAACTTGGTCGTCGGAGAGTCCGTCGGAGGACTGTCTCTCCCATTGGACCTTTTTGTAGGCATATGTCTGAGGCATAAAGGTCAGCAGACCCGTTGGAAGCGTAAATCAGTCCGACCCGTCCACCATTAGAGTTACTGCATTATCATTTTTAGTAATGATTTATTAATTTTAATAATTATTTAAGTCGTTTAAACTTTGTTGGTTTTTTGGCTTTCGAAGGTTATTGTTGTAATTGCGAGCATGCCAGCAAGGATCAATTAGTCTTTACAGAAAATTAATTGCCAACCAATTATCAGACGACTGTGTTTTAGTTCTTTCAGCCTCAATGAAGATGACTTTTACTGGTGGCTTGACTTTGGAGAATCAAACAGATAACAATGAATTGAAGAATAGTTGAAGTATTTCATTAAGATGAAAAAATTTACGATGATCCAAACTCAGCCTCGTAGAGGTTTACAGCAACTCTACTTGGAACTACTCCTATGAAACGAAATGCAGTGCAGAAATTTTAAAGTATAGCAATGTAAAGAACTGTAAATGTAAAAAACTGTAAATGTAAAGCTGAAAAGAAAAATAAGTAATAAAGACTGGTTTTTTTGGATCTGAGTCTGGGGGCTTTTTCTGCGGCTTTCTCTACTATTTATATTGCTCCAGGATGACCATTGAATTACATTTTCAACCGTCGAACTGCTCCTCCATGATCATCGATCATTTTGCCCCAATATCAGCTCCACTACGCCATTACTTGCAATTAAGCTTCCCCCCTAAATTTGAATCTAAAATGCGAGTAACCATTGAGGCCACGTCACTTTGTATCTCTTTGTTAATCCGCTGCTACTCAGATTTCTTAATAACCAATACTAACTGCCACGTGTACGATAAGGATCGAGGACCTGAATAGTCTTCCTATATTACCCTTATTTCGCCACGCATCGAATTGTAACTGGCTTATATAAAATATGTAGCCAACAAACTTGTTCTAATCTAAACCTTTTGGACATGTAAAAGTGCGTTGCTTTTGCCCCCTATAGAAGGATCTGGCTGTGCCCTTGATTGTTTATATATACAACTGACCACCCCTATGTTTAGTTGAGTTTTTATAATTTGTTTTTTAAAAATTAGTTTAGTAAAAAAAATGAAATAAATAAATAAAAAGTAGTGAATATTTGATATGTTTCTCTCTTTTTAGGGGGACATTATTTTTTTAAAATTCAAAAATATTATTTGATATTTATTTTTATCAAACTTGTTATTAATTTTCCAAAAATCAATTAAAAAAAAAAAAACAAGTCTTAGAAACTCAATCAAATTTTAATATGATTATTTTTATGCAATATGTTTATCAAAATGATATTTTTCGATTTAAAATTGAACGGTATTTATCTACAATAAAATGAGAAAAATTATAAACATTTAAAGCTAAAGCGGGAAAATTGTGAAACTTAAAAAGGCAAAGTGTAATTTTCCCATTTTATGTCATGTGGCTACCAACGCAGTGTTTTCCGTTCAAAATGTATATAAAGTATACTGAAATGTGTAAAGATAAAAAATTATGTAAAACTATTTTGGTATTTTGAAATATATAAAATGTATGTTGAGATTATAAATATGTTGACATTATGTGGTTTTTATTGACAACATGAAGGGTTGTTGTTAGCTAGACCCATTTAAAAAATAAGGGTTGTTTGGGATGTCTTAAATAAATGTATTTTTTGATTTTTTGGACTAAAAAGTTGAGGAAAAATGATGGTTGTTTGAGTTAACTTTTGATTTTTTATGAAAAAATGTATATTAAAAAATTGTATAATTAGTGTGTAAGAGAAGATTAGGAGTGTGAGTTGTACGATCGTACTACCTGCGCAGCTGAATTGATACTAAGAAATGATTGGCTACTTTTCGGGCATTGCACTGGAGGGTACTGTTCGGCCCGTGGGGGCCATCACGAGTCCCGTTTTGATAATCTAAATCGTCAATGTGTATAACTCGTTGAGAACTATATGTCTGTAAAAAATCACATTGATCGGATATCGATAGCTATCTGATCAAATTAGTTTGTTTCAGCCGTTAACTATAACACCATCTATTTTTTTTATACAAAATTGATTTGATCATATAGTTAGCGATATCCGATCAATATGATTTTTTACAGACATATAGTACTCGACGAGTTCTACACATTGAACGGTTCAGATTATCAAAACGTGACCTGTGATGGGCCTCCACAGGCCGAACAGTAGTGTGTTAAAATTGCACCCTAACTGTGCAATTTTTCTTAAAAAACGCAGCCAGAGATCTGAACCAGTCAGATTGACTTGTAATTTTGTGTGTAAAATTAATTTTAAAATATTTTTTTTGGGTGAATAGTAATAATTTTTTAACTTTTTAAATAATTTTTTGACTTTTTATCTTTTTTTACATATACCAAACTAGGCCTAAATAATTAGTGGAAAGTCTACACTCAAAAGGCATGTTATTTGGTCAAATGTCTAATATTTTTTAGTGACAATGACATGTTTAATGAAATTATTTGGTAAAAAAAATAAATTATTTCTTTGAATATTTTTTTCCAATTTGAACCACCGTCGTCCATCCATTGAAAAAGTCATCAGTGGCTACAAGTGATGGCCAACCGTGGCAAGGTGGTGGTGATAATACAAATAGATAGATATATCAAGTGAACAAATTATGGAATGCCACCTGAGCATATAAATAACACATGAACAAATAGATAGATAGATAGATAAATAATAAAAAAAATGAATAAATAGACAAATAAGTGGATAATAAACAAACAAACAAATAAGTAAAGATAAATGATATTTCAATTATTTTTTTAACTCCAAAAATATAGAACTCGAATCAATTAATCTTAAAATTTTAAGTGCTCATTTGGTACGTGAGTTTGGGTGAGGTTAGACTTGTTTTAATTACAAAACAGACAAAATAATATTTTTAATCTCAAACTAAAAATTGCCATATCTAAATTATAATTTTTAAATATTTTTTTTTATAAAAGTCAAAAAAAAATATTAAAAAATTCATTATCAATGAGACTATTTTAACCCCCAAACTAAAGAGAACTAAAAAGTTGAAAATCAACCCACATGGCTCTGAAAATCTATGATAAATTAGCTTGCACCAAACTGCCCCATTGTGAGTTGAATTGTGTGGAGGGGTCTCTACCATTTCTCCCCCCAAGGCATACACGTAAGGCGCAAGTTATAACGCTGGCCATCTACGCATCTAAACCCAACTTTCTGTCTCTCTCTCTACTCTGACTGAGAAGGATGCAGGCCATTACGAGGCAATTAGGGCACCAATCTTTGAAGCCCTCATCTGCGATTTCTTATCTCAAATCCATCTACCCTCTCTCTCATCATTGTAATCCATCCTCCCTTCTACATTTCCACATACATACATATACATAAATGCACACAACACGCATATATATAATTTTTTTCCTCATTTCCATGTTTCAATTTTTTGTTTTTCTTCTCTTTTTTTTTTAAATATAATTTATGAATTAGTGATCTTGGTTGCAGACTATGGTGCTGATCATCCGCGGTACGCATCTACCCTTACCACCAAAGGTGTGGGACATCTTGTTCGCAAGGGCACCGGTGGAAGATCCTCTGTCAGGTTACTCTCTTCTTTAACCCGTCTTGACTTATCCTTTTTAGATTCAATCTGATGGTTTGTTTCGATTTTAATGTGGCTCTATTAAGAACTGGGTTATGAAATTTAGCCCACATTTGTCTCAAATTTAATGATAAAGGAGTTGGGTCTTGCATTTTTCGAGTTTATGACAAATCAAATGTCAACATATAACAACTTGCCATGTACCATTGTGGGTCTCAAATCTTTTTCCCTAATTTAATTTGATAATTTTTTCTCTTGTAATCGAGTTATTTTTAATTACATCTCTTAAGTCTGTTTTATCGTACTGATTTTGTATGTATTCTAATTTAGTTGTTATTAGGTATATAACTCAAGTACCAGCTACTTTTAAAGTTCTAAATATATACAAGTATTATTCACGAAACTGCCAAAAGGGGTACCACCTCAGTACATAGGCTGAACAAGACAAACCTAAATCCCATCTCTAAAACTAAGCTGACCTATAAAAAATAAACATGACCCAATAGACACAAAAATAGAAAATAATAAGCTATCATCGAAAATATGTACCACCACATCACACACACATGGGAGCTATCATTAAAGCCTTCCTCACTATTCTCATTCCTATAGCTTGTAACCCAAGATTCATACAACGAAATAACTGAAGCCAACATGACCCAATGAACACAAAAATAGAAAATAATGAGCTCTGTAACTCTCACACTACATTACAATTGATAAGAAGGTGATCTATATATTATTCTACTCGTCGACACATGCAACTCAATTTTGGTAACGTCTTACGCCTGCTACCTAAATTATTAGTAGTGAGGATAAAATCTAAGGCTATTGTCCAAATAAAAAAAAGCCACCTTAGAAAAAGCCCCTGATTTCCAAATTCCAAATATTTTTTCAAGGAAAAGATATATTTGTGCTAATGTCAAGAATATCATGGTAGGATTTGAATGAGAATTTTCTATTATTATCTTCCCACATCATCCTATCCTTATCTTGTCAAACCACTTCCACCGTGCACAGGGCATAAAAAAACTCATCAACTACTTTTTACAACTATGCTTCACAACCCAAAGCTAAAAACTAAAAGCTTCCACAACCCAAAAATAATGGGAATATGGTCCAAGATTGGACGTTGATAAAGACGTTGAAGAACTGGGGGAGAAGTACTCTTCCTAATCCAAAGAGATAAAAAAAGAAAAAGAAAAAGGTTAATCCTTGAAAGGGTATGTATCTCTCTATTATTACTGAACATTTATCTTGCCCCATCTAAAGGTACATCCATCAACTTAGGAACATCTATGAAATCCAAGAACTCACTCATAGTCGTGGAAATATGTGTGAAACTCCACCTCCCTCAAATGGGTCTCAATCAACACATTATGCCCCATTGGAAACACATTATGCCCCATTAGAACCCTTTTGTCCCATAGAACTAGCACACCTCCCAGAGACCCTTGGGACCTAAAAAACACAATTCAAAATGTACAAAGAGACATATTTCATCTTGGATTCCTACAAGCATGCCAAATCCACCCTCCATTTATGCAACATTGACTTCACTACCTTCCTCTAGTTTGGGTCATTTGATGCTTTTACATTCCAATGGACAATTTTAAGCTTCCCACTTATATCTCTTCTCCCCTTGTTATTGAATTGCTACTGCTCCCTAACACCCTCCCTTCATTCTATCATAGTTCATAGAGCATATTAATTTAATGAAAACCCTTTCTTTCCCAATAGATGTGCCCCCTCCCCCCTTTTTCCGAACTACATACTTTCTTTGTTCCCTCCGCCTTTGCTCAATAGCTTCCAAAAACTAAAATGCTTTGTCCTCAAACCCTTCACAATCATAGACATCCCAAAAAAGAGTAGAAAAATTTTCATCTTTCTATTTACCTGATATGATTATTCTTTACCTTTGTTATCCAATAAAAGAGCTTCTTCTTTACTTGATTCCATCTCGTTTGAGCTCATAATGCCAAAGGAGCACATCTATCTAGTGATAGAACCTCTGATTCTTCAATTCCCCTTGAGTCATCCCTATCACTACATGTCTGGATCCACCATCAGTTTTCTCTCCTCAAGACTTCTCCCGCCTGTCGAACTTGAATGAACTAGCTTTTGGTATTTGTGAATCAAAACCCCCAATGACCCACCAAACAACAATTCATAAAGGCCATCGTCTCTTCACAAGAAGGAAAGACTTCAATGTCGGAACCCCCATTTGGGACCATGTCAGAATTTGCAGAGTTGTTTCCAGCCTGCTTTGCACCTGAATAGGCAGTCCAACCATCACTAAATTCTGACTCAGGTATCGACATTCCCCCCCACCACCACCACCACTACCACCATGAATAAGGGATTGGCATTCTGCCAACTGTTTTCTTCTTAGACTACCAAGGAAATGCAGCCCACATGTCCTTAGCAAAGCTTTTTTCATCTTCTCACTGACCCACTGAACTTGATACCTCCACAACGAAAGAGATCATTGTAAACACCTTCCTCGTCGTCCAGGCTTCAACCGCATCAGTATCTTGACACCCTTGTCTTCATTGAATTAAAGGTCTTCCACCCAAGTTGCATCGTCCTTTGATTCTCTTGGATCAACAACTTCAAGAGTATCTGCTAAATAGATGAGCTGACTTTTGAGTTTCTACTATTACAAAGTTCTAAATTGTGATTCTTACGATTTGAAATTGCGTTCTTATGTAATTTGAAAGTGTCTGTTTGGCAGTGGCATCATTTCTGCAGTTTTTGGAGCTACTGGGTTTCTTGGGCGCTATCTTGTGCAACGGCTTGGTAAGTTGAATCTTAACTCTCTTTCAATTGGTAATTTGTAGTAAACACACAAAACGTGATAGGTTCTTGCTGAAATTTAACATATATTATTAGTGTTACTACATTTTTTTTTCCCCAATATATTCGAGAGTCCCTAAATCCCATCACAAGTTTAGGTTCCTCAATTAGTAAGGTCTTTTGAGACAAACTTCCCACAGACTTACAAATTAGTAGTAGATTATTATTATTTTTTAATTTTTTTGGGGGGATAAGTGTCAATTGGTGATAGTATTTCAATCAAGGTTCTAAAATGCGGTTGCGGTCGCCGTAACGGTGGCGGTGGCGCGGTTACGGTTGCGGTTGCGGGGTGTAATGGTTATAGCGTAACGGTTGCGGTAACCGAAACCGTGAATTTTTTTATTTTTCACACAATTTGAAAAAAAACATACCCGCGCATATTTTTTTTCCATAATCATATTTATTGGGTTATAAATAAATATTGATCAATTTTTGTAAATTTTTAGTATGATTCAATATATTTCATATTTTTAAATCACTATAAACTAAGTGTTTTACATTTTATTTTAATAATTAATGATTTTATATATCATAAATCCATATTGCGCTTGTAGCAATTTTTTTTTTATTGGAGAGCTATATAAATTATTTTTTTCATTATTATACTTGTGGAAGTATATGCAAATTTTAATTTAAATAGTTTTAAAAAATAAATTATACATTTTAAAAAATCAATACATGTTCTTCATCTTCCCTCTTCTCTCTCTCTCTTACTCCTCCGTCTTCCTTTTTATCTTCCCTCTTCTCTCTCTATCCCTCTTCCCCTATTTTTTTTTTTTTTTTTTTTTTTTTTTAAAAGAACAGTTTGGAACCGTTACGTAACGGTGCGTAACAAGCCGTTACGACACCGTTACGACCGTTATGGCAGCCGCTACGACCGACACACCTGTAAATCTCAATCACACTGCAAAAGCGGCCGTAACGGGTGGCGGTAACCACCACAACCGTTACGTAACGGTGTTACGTAATGGTTGCGGCCGCTTTTTAAAACCTTGATTTCAATAGTTCAATATTTTGAATTTTAACATATATTATGAGTGTTACTACATATTTTTTTCCCCAATATATTCAAGAGTCCCTAAATCTCATCTCAAGTTTAGGTTCCTCAATTAGTAAGGTCTTTTAAGAAAAATTTCACACAGACTTACAAATTAGTGGTAGATTATTATTATTTTTTAATTTTTTTGGGGGGATAAGTGTCAATTGGTAATAGTTTTTTAATAGTTCAATATTTTGAATTTTTTATTATTGAGAGGGAGATTTATGAGCTGAAGTGGGCTGTGGTAATGGCCAGGCAAATTGTGGGCTGAACACAATTGGGCCGTGGTAGCTTGGGCCTGTCCGGAAGGGTTTTTGCTTGGTTAAGGCACAGGGCATGTGGGACCGAGCTACTTGGCTTGTTGTTGCGGAAGTCGGTCTACTGGGAGTTCGGCCGAGATGTTTGCCTGTCTCCATGGGTTTCACGGTTCATGCGTTAGCTCGGCAGGAAGATCGACGGCTAACCGACTCGACCTACCTCGAGCTCGGCTTGCCAGAATGCAGCCGAGTTCGATTGTACAGGAGCTCAGCGAATGGTTCATTAAGGTATGCCGCGCAGCGTGGTCAGGAGAAACCGAGGAGGTTCCGCCGGTCTGCCGAGCTCCGCCGAGGTATCCTAACAGTTTGGTTAGGTGGTGATTGCTGGATTTGTGCTGACAGATGGGATAGCAGCACCACGTGTCGAGAGACTAATGGGAGTAGATTTGGGGCGCAGAAGGTATATAAGCGAGTCTGCGCCCCCCATGCCTGGGCTGGGACAGATGAACATTTGGTGAGATTTACACTAAACACAACTCAGTCCTCTCTTTCTCTCTCTATCCCTGTGTGTGTGTCTAACTTGATCGTCGGAGGGGTTTTCCGGCCACACACCGTCGGGTAGCTCATCGCTGTTGTGCTCGCAGGTCGATCAGACAGACTGGAGCTTGGAAGAAAGGAGTGCGGGCTTGCCTGAATATTTACTTCCCGCACAATTATCATTTTGATCCAATTAATCTTATGAATAAAGCAATGAATAATAGAACCAACAATAAAATGGATCTTGCTCCATATAAGGTTCATAGACCTAGGTAAAGTTTCATGGAAAGCAAATAATACATTAGCCAAGAGGTTGTGATTTTACATGATGGAAAGTGTTGTTCGTCCCTAGCCTTGTGCCACGGGTTTGAGTCATGGGAATCAACTTGTTAGAATTTATGTATTATTGATTGATATCTTGTTGATTGATATTAATTACAATTACAAGGATTCCTATTATATAGGAGTGTGTTTGGGAGTAGGTGGAGAGTGAAGTGTGGTAGGTGGTAGTGGTAGGTGGAGAGTAGGTGAAGTGTGGTAGGTGATAGTGGGTGAATTTTAACAGCTCCCCGCAAACTCAAGGGGGATAGGAACTAACCAACTTGAGTTTGGAGAGAGTTACAAAACAAGAAAATACATAAAAATAAAAAAGGATAGTCTCAAATCTTTTTCCCTAATTTAATTTGATAATTTTTTCTCTTGTAATGGAGTTATTTTTAATTACATCTCTTTAAGTCTGTTTTATTGTAATGATTTTGTATGTATTCTAATTTAGTTGTTATTAGGTATATAACTCAAGTACCAGCTACTTTTAAAGTTCTAAATATATACAAGTATTATTCACGAAACTGCCAAAAGGGGTACCACCTCAGTACATAGGCTGAACAAGACAAACCTAAATCCCATCTCTAAAACTAAGCTGACCTATAAAAAATGACCTGAAAGCAAAAAATGAAAAGTATACATCAAAGTTGATTTTAATCTATGTACAGACTATACAACATCCCCAACTGTTTGTTGCTTCCTCTCCCTCGATATATACCACCACATCACACACAGATGGGAGCTATCATCGAAGCCTTCCTCACTGTTCTCATTCCTACAGCTCGTAACCCAAGATTCATACAACGAAATAACTGAAGCCAACATGACCCAATGAACACAAAAATAGAAAATAATGAGCTCTGTAACTCTCACACTACATTACAATTGATAAGAAGGTGATCTATATATTATTCTACTCGTCGACACATGCAACTCAATTTTGGTAACGTCTTACGCCTGCTACCTAAATTATTAGTAGTGAGGATAAAATCTAAGGCTATTGTCCAAATAAAAAAAAGCCACCTTAGAAAAAGCCCCTGATTTCCAAATTCCAAATATTTTTTCAAGGAAAAGATATATTTGTGCTAATGTCAAGAATATCATGGTAGGATTTGAATGAGAATTTTCCATTATTATCTTCTCACATCATCCTATCCTTATCTTGTCAAACCACTTCCACCGTGTACAGGGCATAAAAAAACTCATCAACTACTTTTTACAACTATGCTTCACAACCCAAAGCTAAAAACTAAAAGCTTCCACAACCCAAAAATAATGGGAATATGGTCCAAGATTGGCCGTTGATAAAGACGTTGAAGAACTAGGGGAGAAGTACTCTTCCTAATCCAAAGAGATAAAAAAAGAAAAAGAAAAAGGTTAATCCTTGAAAGGGTATGTATCATCATTACTGAACATTTATCTTGCCCCATCTAAAGGTACATCCATCAACTTAGGAACATCTATGAAATCCAAGAACTCACTCATAGTCGTGGAAATATGTGTGAAACTCCACCTCCCTCAAATGGGTCTCAATCAACACATTATGCCCCATTGGAAACACATTATGCCCCATTAGAACCCTTTTGTCCCATAGAACTAGCACACCTCCCAGAGACCCTTGGGACCTAAAAAACACAATTCAAAATGTGCAAAGAGACATATTTCATCTTGGATTCCTACAAGCATGCCAAATCCACCCTCCATTTATGCAACATTGACTTCAATACCTTCCTCTAGTTTGGGTCATTTGATGCTTTTACATTCCAATGGACAGTTTTAAGCTTCCCACTTATTTCTCTTCTCCCCTTGTTATTGAATTGCTACTGCTCCCTAACACCCTCCCTTCATTCCATCATAGTTCATAGAGCATATTAATTTAATGAAAACCCTTTCTTTCCCAATAGATGTGCCCCCTCCCCCCTTTTTCCGAACTACATACTTTCTTTGTTCCCTCCGCCTTTGCTCAATAGCTTCCAAAAACTAAAATGCTTTGTCCTCAAACCCTTCACAATCATAGACATCCCAAAAAAGAGTAGAAAAATTTTCATCTTTCTATTTACCTGATATGATTATTCTTTACCTTTGTTATCCAATAAAAGAGCTTCTTCTTTACTTGATTCCATCTCGTTTGAGCTCATAATGCCAAAGGAGCACATCTATCTAGTGATAGAACCTCTGATTCTTCAATTCCCCTTGAGTCATCCCTATCACTACATGTCTGGATCCACCATCAGTTTTCTCTCCTCAAGACTTCTCCCGCCTGTCGAACTTGAATGAACTAGCTTTTGGTATTTGTGAATCAAAACCCCCAATGACCCACCAAACAACAATTCATAAAGGCCATCGTCTCTTCACAAGAAGGAAAGACTTCAATGTCGGAACCCCCATTTGGGACCATGTCAGAATTTGCAGAGTTGTTTCCAGCCTGCTTTGCGCCTGAATGGGCAGTCCAACCATCACTAAATTCTGACTCAGGTATCGACATTCCCCCCCACCACCACCACCACTACCACCATGAATAAGGGATTGGCATTCTGCCAACTGTTTTCTTCTTAGACTACCAAGGAAATGCAGCCCACATGTCCTTAGCAAAGCTTTTTTCATCTTCTCACTGACCCACTGAACTTGATACCTCCACAACGAAAGAGATCATTGTAAACACCTTCCTCGTCGTCCAGGCTTCAACCGCATCAGTATCTTGACACCCTTGTCTTCATTGAATTAAAGGTCTGCCACCCAAGTTGCATCGTCCTTTGATTCTCTTGGATCAACAACTTCAAGAGTAT